CTCCTCTGGTTCTACATTTTCCTCCATCTCTGCTGCCTCCTCTTCCTCTTTCTCCTCCATCTCTCCCTCCTCTGGTTCTACATTTTCCTCAATCTCTGCTGCCTCCTCTTCCTCTTTCTCCTCCATCTCTCCCTCCTCCTCTTCCACATTTTCCTCCACTTCTGCCTCCTCATTTTCCATTTCCTCTACCGCCTCTACCTCTTCGTTTTCCAAAGTTTCCTCGCCTTCTCCTTCCTCATTTTCAGCACCTTCCTCTTCATCCTTTTGTCCTTCCTCGTCACCCTCTTCCTGTTCTTCTTCTCCTTCTTGATTTGTCTCATTTTCTTCCTCCTCTTCTTTAGTCTCCTCATCCTCCGCCGCATCATTCACTTCCTCTTCTATTTCATCTGTCTGCCCTCCTTCTTCTTCTACTTGGTCCTCTCCGTGTTCCTCCGCCTCCTCCTTCTCCTCCTCTGCGTTCTCCTTCACCTCCTCCTCTTCTTCTCCCTCCCTTTCTCTACTCTCTTCCTCCTCTTCATCTGGGAGTCCGTTTTGTTCGCTGTTGTGATTCTCCTCGTCTTCTTTCTCAGTTCCTACATGGTTCTGTTCCTCCCCTTCCAGCTCCGCCGGGCCATCCTCCGTTTCGTCTGCGGCGCCATCATCGCAGATGGTTTTCCCGCCGCTGTTCCTCAGGTTTATATGGTTGTGGTTGTTGTGCTCCAGGTCCTCCAGGGTGAGTTCGAACTGGAAGCGGTCGTGCTGTAGGTGTCTGTCCGGGGGAGGTGAGGGAGACTGGGGCATGGTGTTCAGGTACCACTCCCTGTTCTCCTCCAGCGTGTCCAGCAGCTCCTGGGCATCTGGGTGCACCAGGTCGGCCCACGTCTCCCACAGCGGGTGAACGATGTAGTCGATGAAACCCACCTAGAAAAGAAAAAGAATCACACCTGAGGCCACGATAATAGGTGATGTTAAAGAAATTGCTTTCTCGCTGAGAGAGACGGTAAGATGAAATGATAGTCAATTAGCTTAGCTTAGCATAAAGACAAGAAATGGGAAAACAACAGTCCAAAGGTGACAAAATGAACACGTTATATCTCATGTTTAAATAGTTTGAAAATTATGATTTGCAGTTTTACTGGGACCTTGTGGTAAAATCACAACTTGTTGTTGTTTTCGCACCTTTGTTGTGTTTAATTTGAGTTGTTTACTTTGGACAGAACCTGGCTAGCTGTTGCGGTTATTTAACGGCTGCCGGCTTTAAATCTATCATATTGACCTGAGTGGTATCAATCTTTTCATTTAACTCTTGGAAAGAAATCATATTTCCCAACTGAAATATTCCTTTAAAGTACAGAGAAATCCAACTGGCAAAATATCTAAAAAAAAAGAAGAAGAAGAAGAAAAAAAAGATTTAGCCTAGCATAGAAGCAGTGACCACAAGCCTGACATGTCACTGTTTAACATCATAGTTATTAAAAGAGGCATATGACTGTAGCGGCTCCCAGTTGGACACTGAGACAGAAATGCATTTGTCATACGTGCATCCAAAAAACTAAAACAAAAGATTGTATGATTGCCAGCATTTATCTTAAGTCATTCCAAGCTTCTCTGCCAGTTTCATGAAGTGTTTTTTGTGTTGGGGGACAATTAAAGTACTGAACAACTAACAAAAGTTTGTCTCTTCCCGTAACAATGCAATACACAGACAAACACACATGGATTTTTAGCAGCGTGGCTCGAGGGATGGCAGTGTTCGGTTTGTCTGTCGCCCAAGCTCTTTGGTCCAGATTGAAAGATTCAGATGAATCCTACTGATGATTGTGATCCTCTGACTTTTCCTCGGTTTCTCAGAATGTATTGTGATTATTTTCAACTTCTATTCTAGTGCCTCCGCTGTAATTTGGGTTAAGAGCTAAGCGGCAATGTTAGCATGCTAAATTAAGATAGTAAACATGGTAAACATTATACCTGCTGAACATCAGCATGTTAACGTTGTCACTGTGAGCATGTTGACATTATTATTTATCTCAAAGCATCCCTGAGCTTGTGTTCTGATAGAGAATTCACGTAACACATCCAAACACACTTCAAACATCATTCTGGATCCACTGTTTTAACAATGACACATTTAAAGTGGATGGGAGAGAGAGAGAGAGAGAGAGAGAGAGAGAGAGAGAGAGACTGAGCTTTACCTGACTCTTCTCCACTGAAGCGGTGTGTTTGTCACACATGGCACTGATCTCCATCCCTCTCTCACGCTCCTTGTCACCCTGTCGAAAGAACTCCTCCATGATCCTCTCCGTCCACTGTTTGTACAACGGCAACGGCTTGGTGGGGTTGCTCAGGTCTGCACAGTGCACCATGTTCCTCAGCACCTAAACACACACACACACACACACACACACATTGTACAGTACATGTAACTATATATTCACACAGCATAGTAAACAGATTTCAGGCCACTGACCCTGGTTCTGTGTGAGAAGCCAGACAGGTTACCTGTATCCGTTCTGTATAGTGGTCCAGGAGCAGCACACCCGAGCTGGTCACCTTCTTGGTCTCCACCATGGTCTTCAGGTCCGCCAGTAGCGTCATGTGTTTGGACATGTCTGTGGCCAACACCTGCACACATCAAGACAGTGAGACAAAGAGAAGAAGTACAAAGATCCAACCTAACCATCTGTCCTCGTCTGACAAATACAGGCTTTTTGTTAGTTATATAGCTTCCAGACAAAGAGCACTTTTCAATAAACCTGTATTGCAAACACACACAGAGAGCTTCATTGTGCATTGTTGAGTCCATCACAGAGAAGCTGGGAGTTTTGGCTGTAATGTTGAAGGTTTTTATTTGAAAGGATAGATATTTAGTTTTATTTTGACTAATAAAACCTCACTGAGATCAAAACCTGTCTTGTTTTAAGGGGGTCCTTGTCAAGATGGGCAGTAACAAGTTATGGACAAACAGCAAAAAAAATCACAATTAAACAAACTTGTCTCATCTTAAATAAAATCACAGGTAAGAACTAACTAACACAGAATATAAAATAGCACATCCTGGAAACCACATGAGAGCTGTCTAAAACCATCAAATCTGAACATATCAAATGATAAATAATGATGATTCTCAGTGCTGCTATCCAATAGAGAAGCTGAAGGTTAGGGTATAATGTATCTGAGATGTGGTAGAAAATATTCTGACCATATCGATGACAAGCTTGCGAAGACTCTGGCGCTGCCTCTTGGTGAGGTTCTGGAAGATGTCACAGTTTTCCTGGTGCAGAAGCTTGAAGCCCACAGCGAGGTGGTGGTTCTCCAAAACTGACTCATCGTTATACATGAGGGCCAGCTCTGAGTCTGAGCACAGAGGAGGAGGGTGTTAACACACTTTGTGCAAATATCTAGACAAGTTTTATCTTTATCTATGTGTGTGTTTGTGTGTGTGTGTGTGTGTGCACTCACTGGTGTTGATAAGGAACTGATTGGAGACTCCGGGGTGGTCTACATCATGGATAGCTGCAGCGAACAGAGCGGCGAGGATCTCCAGGTCGGTAAAGGCGGCCTGAAAGGGACAAAAAGGGAAAGAAAAGATCAGAGAAAATGAAAAATGTATTAATATTTAAATGTATTTAGAATATTGAGAATATGTGTAAAACATGATTTTAATAATATAAGTTATAAGTAGACAGTTTTCTGGATTATAATTAGTGATACATTAATGTGTAAGCATCCGTTTAATGTTGCAGATAGTAAAGGTGGAGCTAATTTTAACTTCTGCTTGGGTAGCTTAATACATAATAAAACTTTACAGAATTTATTAGATTTACATTTTGTATTAACAATCTGAATCTGTAAAGTAGCACGTAACCAATGTGTTCAAATAAATGTAGTGGAGTAAAAAGTACAATAATAGATCCAAAATGTAGTTTAGAGTAAAATTATGAAGTAAATAATGTTTGATGGAAATACTCAAGTAGTACCTGAAGTACCTCAAAATTGTAGAATGCAGATTGTGACTTAGTAACACATTGTTGTCAGTTGGCGTGAATTAAAACATTACATTTAAAACAATGCTTAAAGAGGATTCAGTGCATCTAGCCACTAAACGGTAGAGTCCAGTGTCTAGTTTGCCATTCTGGGCTACTGTAGAAACATGGCGGTTCAACATGGTGGACTCTATAGATTAAAAACAGGCTCATTCTAGGTAACAAAAACACAACGATTCTTAATTTCAGGAGATTAACTACCAATAAAAACTACTATGAAATAATATTTCTGCCATACATCCTCATAAATGTTACACACTTGACCTTTAAATAAACAGATAAATTTAATCCATAGTTGTGTTTCCCATGTGACTTTTTAAATATTTATTTATGTCCTTGAGCTAGGCCACAATCATTTCCCAGCCTTGGTTGAAAATAAAGTTCTATTGTGCCACATTTAATTGTTATCTATGAAGAAAATTTATTTTTGTCAAGCCAGACAGAGTAATGAGAATTTTTCAAAGACAAGTAGGGGATGCCTTGTCCACCTCCGAGCACAAACCATCCAGTATTGTGTGTGTGTTTGTGTGTGGTGTGTGTGTGTGTGGTGTGTGTGTGCGTGTGTGTGCGTGTCAATATACATCAAGAGCAGGTGTGGAGAGGAGGACATGTGTGGACTGGGTGACATCTGCAGCATGGAGGCTGTTGTGGTACGCTACGTTTCCATGGTAATGGTCCTCCAGGGTCATCACGTAAGGACAAGGTGTGACTTGGATACGAAACGTCTTCAACAGCTCTCGCTCCTGACTGAGGGAGGAGAGGACCAAAACTTCACACACACACACACACACTTCCGATGGGAGAACATCATGTACGAAGCAAACCAACAAACACTTCAGGTGAGAAAGATCCCACAGAAAACACACATCCCACTCATTCGCACTCATTTTGTTTTACCTGGAAGATGGTATACATGAGCAGCTGAGAGGTCTGTTGTTGGAGAATTCTGCTACTCTGAATATGTTAAAAACTCCCTTGTCCAGATCCTCCAACTCCTGGTCAAACACCACACACACACACACACAGACAAAACATAATATGAGTCAGACATGTATAACATTTTTAATAAAAATATTAAAAGCCTTATTCCACTAAATGCGTCATTAAAGGCTAATGCATGTCATTTTGAAAGCAGAGATGGTGCTATCAGGGTGCTCAGAGGGCATCAATACATTATTTAAATGCGCATCAGAATTTAACACAGGGCTAGACAATAAACCAACGTTATGGATGGAACACTTATCATTTAATTTAACTTGTTATTCACAACATTGTCCAGTTAACATAGTTAACTGAGAATAGCAACAAAACCAATGGCATAATCCATAAACTGAACCAGCCAATCAATTACCTTAGAGCTGAAATTTTAGTTGATCATTTAAAAATAACTATGTAAAATCATTACTTCCAGTTCCAGCTTCTCAAATATGAAGATTTACTGGATTTCTTAGTCCTCTGTGATAGTAAACTGAATACCTTCAGGTTTCAGACTGATTGTAGGACAAAAAAATCCATTTGAATATCTCACTGTGGGTTTTAGTAATTTGTTTGACTAAACAAATTCATTAAGAATTGATTAATCAAGAACATATCAATAAAAATAAGCCCTACATTATTTCAGACAAACATTAGAAGTGATCCAACACAAGTAGGAAAATTTAATGCATTAATGCATCTAAAAAATAGTGATAACATTCCCTATTATCAAGGAAAAATGTGACAAAATATTGTTATTGTTATTGTTATGTCGCCCAGCTCAAGTTTAACACCGCTGCCTGTGATTAGGGCTTCTGTCACCAGAGGTCTGGTGCCTTTTGAACACAGCAGACATCCCTCTCAAGAAACTCAAAATAACCTTCAGCGTATGCGTCACGGTGTCCAAAGATGTACTGAAAATACGTGTGACCTCTTTGACTGACTGACTAGTCTAGTTCCTAATGATAAAGACAGACCACAACACATTTTTTAAAGGTATGGCTGTATGGATGCCATGGAATACCCATGCTACCTTCAGCAGGAATGATCACTTCCTTTAACTTTACATTCAGCCCCACAATGAGGTCATTTTAATTTGCCTGTTGATGTTAGCGTTTAGCTCATAACACAGCTTGCAGTTGCAGAACTGAGTAGCTGTTGTTATTTACAGTATATGTAGCATAGTTACAGCTGATTTATGTACTGCTAAATGAAGAGATGGTTTCTATCCTACTCTTTGGTGCTACGGACTGGATTAAATTAAAACAACAAGGCGCCAAGCCTGAGGAATCAGACAAAAGGAATAACAAAATATTCCTTCTTTTCGCGACATTGTTTCAGTTTTATGAGCCCAACAACCTGTAAGTGGCTTGGTGTTGAGTAGGAAGTAAAACACAAAAGAAAACCCTGTACATTATCAAATGCATGTCCCACAGGAAGCCTCCCACTTCAGTCTCATTGTGACACTGCACAAGCCTCAGCTGTAAATCACTAAAACAAGAGAAGTGCAGGGCACACACACACACACACACACACACACACACACACATACACACACATACCATCTCCACACTGCTGGAAGCAACCAATAAGCCACTATTTAAACAAGACCTTGCATAAGAAAAGACTCTACAGAGCCCTCAAAAACCTGAGAGATAAAATATTATCAGTGTTCACAGAGCACAGTCAAAGTCTGAGCAGGGATTGATCTATGCAACTTATTTCATGAGTCAGAGAAAGAAACAGACAGACAACGAGACCTTGGCAAGCTCATCCTCGTGGTCTGTGTTGACACCGAAGCGAGGCATTGAAGTGCTGGAGAGGCTGGAGCTGTGAGACAGTTTCCTTACTCCAGTGATGTGACTCATAGATTTCTCTTTCAGAGTAGGAGATGGGATTTCCACCTCGTTCTGCTTGTCTACAAAATTGGTGAACAAACACAAACGTAGAAGGATTTATTGTTTTTATTTAGCAAAGGTCATAAATGTGACGTCGACAGAAATCAGATTCTGGTCCCACTCACCCATGAAGGTGCTGGAGATGTATTCAGACACCTGGTTACCAGAGCGACTCATCTCTGACAGGTGGGACAGCTCTCTGTTCAGCATCCTCTTAAACTGTGGCAGAATGAGAGCAAAGCAGAGATATGAGTCAATGATGTGCCGTTTCTCCATGTTTTTGAGGGATAAGTGTTTATGTTCAATGCAATTCAATGGTGGCATAACAGCAACATCGTGGAAAGGTGCTAAACATGTTTAAAAAATGTGTTAAAATCCATAAGAATTATACTGTAATTTCTATTTGCAACCTCTACTGTGCATTGGTATTGATATATTTATGATGAGCCAAAATTAGCCTGCTGATGTTGTTTGGACTGGTTTGCTAAATGATGTATGCGTACCTTGGTGGAGGCCATTTCGCTGACAGAACGGTGCGTCTGAATGGTCTCCAGCTGGTCCAAGCACCAGTCCAGCTCTTCTAATGTGTCCAGGGCGAGCTGCTGGTACTGTTGGTCTGATAGTGACGCCCTGGGACTGACACACACTCCACCCAGAGGAGACCTCCTGAGGACACGACAGAAAGTTAGACCGAGCAAAACTGCCGACTGAATTCAGTTGGCAACAACAAGCAAGCAACAGCTTCCTCACCTTATGTATCTTTTGAAAGTGTAATTTTACCAGTTGCACGGTTTTTTAAACTTGATTGGTTTTAGTTTTGTGATTTTATTTTTCCATTATATTGTATGTGTGTATATCTGGGTGGCGAGTTACTGCATACAATTGCCATTAAAGGAATAAATAAATCTGTATTGAATGGAACATTGCGAACAAAAAAAAGAAAAAAAGATATTTTTTTGATAGATAGTTTTGTTTTTTTGCTTCATCCAATACAATATAACGTGTAATAAAGAAAAAGAAATTGGAAAATAATAATCTGCATTTCAAATCATTCCACCATTGAGCTGCTCTAGAATTGATGATCAGATGCTAGAACAGTTGAGAACCGGTGTTCAAGTACGACTACGACGACTGTACCAAACCTAATGATGTAACTGTCGTCACAGAATGTGTGTGCACGAATGTGACATTAGATGCATGCTAATAATGGTAAGTAGCTGTATTTTTAGGACAATGATTTGGGACTGACTTTATTGTTGGTGTGGAGACGTTGGCAAGAATGGTGAAGTTGCTCCGTACTGATCGCAGACTGGCAAGCACCTAAATTATAACACAGTATCACAGGATTTAGCCTCAAAGAAATATACTTTTAACCATTTTAACCAGCAGGTCAAATGATGCAAAATGAATGAGAAGCTATTTGCAGGAACTGGAAGAATTGTGACACATTTCACACAATGTATAGTGTTATGATGAAAAATCTGCAGTAGAGAAAACCATTGTATTAAGAGACTCACTTGAGCAAAAGGTGTGACAATGAAGTCCTCGCCTGTGTGTCTGAGAGAGGTAGAGACAGAGTTGCAAATAGGAAAAGAAGCAAATACTTATAGCACCATTTCTCCTGCAAACTTATGGGTACACACATACAGACTCTCTCCCCTCTCACTGATTCTTTTCATCATGAGTCTCACCCTTCGCTGGCGAGGGAGGAGTTACGTGAGACCGCCTTGGGCGACATGTCGTAGTCCGAGTCGGAACGGTAGAGGAAGGACTCTCTTCTCTGGCCCTGGGGAAAGGAGGTGTGCAGGGTGAGGCTTGGACTCTGAGAACCCACTGGGGTGTGACCTGGTGACAAGCCATTTTCTGCTTCGTAACTAGAGCGCGAGGAGAGGAGGAAGAAGTTTGACAATTTAGAAGAGACAGAAATAAAATATCCTGCAAAGGTTCCTGAGAAGTAAAATCAGGGGTTTGAAATAAAGTTAAATTGTCTGTAAACCTGTCGGAGTCTGCTTGTGTGATGGAGATGCGTGGCGGGATGCGGAGGGGAAGAGTTGTTGGACGCGACACGTTGTTCAGAACCTCTGGTGAACGTGTGCGGTCTCGAGGGCGGAGCCAGCAGGGTACCTGTAGAGTGAGAAGAAAGGGTTTGTAGATGATGCTAGTCACCAGTTGCTGTGCAGGTGTACAGCACAATCAGTCTCTCAGATTTACAGACACACAAGAGCCCAAAAACAGCTGGTCACTTGATTAATTGCAAATTTGTGCATATAGTGTGTTTAACATTTAGCTTTGTAACTATACAGCATTCAGTGCTTTTCAATACAATCAATACGTACCAATTTTGCTTTTTGGAGAGTTTAGATTTGCATTTGTACATCTTGTCATTGCAGCCAACCGTTGGTTTCTATTCATTTAAATGCAATATGAAATTAAATGACCAGATTCCTGCAATAACTCCTTTTAAGTCATTTGGCTGCAGCAGAAACAAGACGTAAACAAATGACATGACATGATATCACCAATTTGATAGGGCAAACATTTACACATCCAACAGTTACGGCAGAATGCTAAATGATCCACTATGTTTACCATCTGGTTGGTAACGTTGTAGTTAAGTTGGAGTATTTCCCTTAAAACAGTAGCCTGCTGCTGCAAAAACAAAACATTAAAGTTGCACTAACAGAGACCTTTTTCACATTACACAGTCATTTGATCTATTGTCAATATGAAAATATTGATTATTGCAGCTTTATTCTGTCATACTAAAATCTTTAAGGGGATTAATGAATGGAATTCAGGGAAGCGAGTGGATCCCCAGGAATCATACATTCAAAATCGTTAAGCCTACTATTGTTGTGTCTTAAATGGTTTGTATATACAATTTGTTGTAAAATGGGCAAAAACATGCAAAATTAATATTATGTTCACATGAGGGGAAGGAGGGTGTTAATGAGGACCTATAGCTAATTTTTACCCCGGGGCCCCAAGCAGGTTAATGTGGCTGTGCTTCCTTTCAGTACCTGGAGACTAGAAGAGAGCCTTCTGCTCCTCCCTCTGCGTAGCTCAGCCCCTAATGTGGCCCCAGACGTATAGGATCGGCTGTACCGAGATGACTCCGCCTTCTCCCCAGCACCTGTTATATCTGTGTCATTGCCCTGTGAGACAAGGGGCAAAGGAGGTGAGAGACACATACAAAAATGTACCGTGTATCTTATAATAAACATTTTGGCACACTCACCAAACCATGTTGTTTTGCCATATTCAAATTCAGATGAGTGAAGAAACTTCCACAAAAAACCCACAATATAAATGATCAGTGTGTGTTTGCATACGTGTATGACTGTGCATGTGTTCGGCTACATGCGTGTGTGCGTGTATGTGTCTGGGATAAGGCCTCTATAGACTGAGCTCTTAGAGGCTGATCTGCACTGCAGTACCGTAGCAACAAAACACTAGGGGAATGGTAGCAGTTGCTAGGCAACAGTGCCGTGTTGCTTCCATGCTGCGTTTGATGTCGTCCAGACCCAGATGTGGAAAGATGCTCACATCCACAAACACACACACACACACACACACACATAGAGTACACAAACAAATGGGCACCCGCTCAGCATAATCAATAAAAGATCGCTTGAATAATGCATGGTATTATGTCCTTCAGCCAAGACGTTACCTTTAAAAGAAAATAGCTCATTTACATAGGGCACTCATTTAGCTGGGGCTCATTTACATATAGGACTATGACTGAGTGAGTGGTTCACACTGTGAGTGGAGGCTGGAGGACACAGACTGTCCACTCTGACTTCTGAGTGCGTCCACAGACCTCGACGACAAGAACAAAGGGAGCCTTGGATGTGTGAAAGTCACAAGGTTTGTATGTCATCATAAGCACTCAAGAAAACACACACACACACACACACACGCACAGTCTGCTCTGTCTGGCATCTACTCTCACGGAAACACAGTGACAAAGTAGGTTGATTTTCTCGAGTACATCCCTGGTTGTTTATTTTCTCCTTCTCACCTCTTCTCCAGTCACAGACAGCACGCTGCGGCTCTTCTTCATTCTGATTGGCTCGTTCTGGGCCCCAGGGCGGAGCGTTCCCGAACCCAGGCAGCAGAGCAGGTGGAGAGCCAGGACCGGAGAGGTCAAAGGTCACTGCAAGGTCAAACCGGGGTCAGACCGGGTCACAACCGGCCCCCATTGGAGCTGACTCAGCCAAGTCAACCGCCTCGCTCGCGTCCTGTCCACACCTCAGTCTTCAGGTTGCTGAAACCGGGAGGGGGGGGGGGG